GGTTATTATTTGAAAAGAACTAACCTACAAATGTCTCAACTGACCAATCAGAATCAAGCATTCCAGAGAGCCGTGTAATAAGTGAGAATAAACATCTGATCAGGAGAAAGCGGCTGAACACAGTGTGTAGAGCCTAACATTTTGTTTCTAAAGGATACATGGAGGTAGTAAATCACAAACTATAGCATGACCAGATAATCTGTGTGGATGAATGTATGCAGAGCTTTCGATTTTCAATATGAAGAAATATGGGTTACACAATAGATAGAATTTTGGGGGGAGGAGCGGCCGGGGGGGCCCCGACTGTAGGTTTTGGGGCCCCTATAAAATGCTTGGCCTCCGGAATCTGCCAGGGTATCCATGTCCCTCCGATGGCCCTGAATGTATATATGGATGGATGGGTTCACAGTAAAACTTGTGCTTTATCACCCAAGTTATACAGTACCAGACCTTAATTTTATTTTCTCATCCAACCTTTAGAGTCCCTGTGTGGGGAAAAAGCACTGAAGTTTCACAGACTATTATTCATACTGACCATTGAACTTTATCTAGTTTAATTACATCATTAAACCTGCTATGCCGATATTATTACCTCATATTAAAACTATTTATATTGTCATGGTTACCCTCCGTTGTATAATAAACAAAAGCTTTTTCTGTTTTACTTTTTTGTATATGATACTTACAATCAACAAATGGTGTAACTGATCTTACTTGAGAGACACCTATGAAAAAAGGGTTAATTGTGACTTTATCATTAATCAGTGTTTCATTTTTTGCGGCTATCACTTGCTTTTTCTTCACCATACAGTCCGCAGTTTCTTTCTACCCACATTTGAAGATTTGGCTATGATGGTGATACTTTATTTGCTATTTCTTCAAGTACAGATACGTAATAATTCTTTAGTTCTCACATATCCCATGTTGCTCTCCTATGAGACTCACAAGGACACATACAGGTGAAGGTTTAGGGCCTAAAAGTGTTGTGATTATAAACTTATAAACATGTTCTAAATGGTTCTGAATATTTGTAAGTGTTCTGAGTTCTGGGTTTTTTGGATGGACTCTGAATTAAGTAGTCTCTGAGTAAATACTGGGTAAACATCGTCCTGTGGGTGCATGCTGGCCTCCTCAAGCTCTTTCTAGTGGCCGCTCAAGGCGGGCAGGTTCAGCGCCAGAGGAGGAATGATGGTCAGTGAGGCAGGCAGGGCAGTAGCTAGACATTCTGAGCCCCCTGACAAAATGTCATCTTGGGCCCCCCTGCCCCTTTATATCGCATAATTATATATATTCAAGGGACCCTGTAAAGTGATGGGCCTCCTGAATCTGTCAGGGTATCCATGCCCCATCGACGCCCCTGGAGACAGGTAAGGCAATTCTGTGCTTAGATGGAAGAGCAGAGTGGATGAGCAAGAATATCTAGGAGCTGTGACAATTTGTCAAGGTATAATAAAGAAGTGGATGGCGGTAGGCAAACATACCAGAGCTGCAGTCTCACATCTCCTTCCTTTGTTAGGGCTGTTCCAGGAGGTCTCTCCCCGCTCGGCTAATTAGCCAATTCTGCTTTGCCTTCTAATCACATGCCATGATGTAATGCTTACAAATGGCGATGTCATCGTCCATTTTCATTCCTCAGGGAATCTGAAATGTACTTTCTGCTCATGTGCAGTATCATCACCTTCTCCTGTGGAGTAGTCTGTGATACCCCGCCTCCTCCTCTCTCCTACATGGTGCAGCAAGGTCACTTACAGCACTTACAACATCTTAATTAATCAATAGATTACTAGAACATAAAGAAGTGTCACAGCTTTTGGCTATTCTTGCCCCCCTCCCCCTGCTTTTAAATTTGTGGCATCTTTTCAAACCATTTCCTTGGTCTAATCAATGACAATCTAAAAAATCCACCCAACGTAAGCAGATTATTAAGAGGACATGTTGGAGAGAAAACCCTGCATCAACAAGGTGTTCTTACACCCTTGAAGTTTGAAATACCACTCTTAAGTTATCTGAAATGCTTGATGAGTGATTCTTAACCTGAGGCAGAACTTCTCTCTTTAAATTCTCTGTTTAGAACAGACCGAGGCCCACTGTCATAGAATCCATACACACAATTTGGTTAAATTGCAGCAGGCATTGCTACTACTCGTGGTATTTTCAAGAAACGCACTGAGATCTTCCCTGAGAAGATTGTCACTACTATCTAGCTTCCGTCTGGAAGAGCCCTGGTCTGGGATTCAGCCCTATGGCATCAGAAGAGCCCAGTCTTGTCATCACAGTCTGCCATCACAACAGTTCTGTGCGCACTTCAAGAGTATGTTTGATCATGCAGCAGACAGAAAGAACATAGAGCACCAATTGTGCAAACAGTGGAGACTCAGTGGATGATGCCTTGAACATCCCCTAGGAACAGGTTGAACAATCCAGCCCTGTTAACGATATACCGCAGAGGATTGAATACATTACCTTTAGATGATATCTACATAATTGGCATATGGCAAAATCTACAGTGAAACATTGCAATGAACGATAAGATTGGGGGGAGGGGGGCTCATCCTGTAGAAAATATATACATTTTTCATATAGATTCTTTTACACTTTTTGAATGACATAGATTACTAATTAGAGGACTGTTTGGCTGAACAGCCCTCACACCTGGATTTGAATAGCTTTAGGTTACCCCAGAAACCTGCATACACACTGGCACTTTGTGGATATGATTGCCCACCCCTGCTGTATGGAGTAACCTATGCACCTTCATTTTTTTCAATTATTTATGAATGAGATTTTTAAAAATGGTCCCCGCAATGTCAAAATAACAGGTTTTTATCAACTAATTCATTATGTAATATAAACATTATCCTCACACAGACACACACACACACACACACAATGGAAACCTTCCTCTGTATGACTAAGAAAAATAAGCTTCCTGTGTATCAGGCAGTGCAATGATGCAGGAAATTTTGGCTGCACCAGTTGTAACCATGTGATCGTATATTTGGCGTGAAAGTCAACCAGAACCACACTTTAGCACCAAAGTCTGGACTGAGGCCCCGTTTACACTGCAGGTCTTGATGCCTAATTCCGATTTGTTGCCTATATCCGATTTTTTGGACCGTCTGTTTACACGGTCTTTTTAATTGTGACCCATATCCGATTCGTGTGTTTACACTTGCTATAATTTCACGCATGCTCAACAGGGGGTTTTGCACGACACCGTAGCCAAGACGGACGAACGCGAAATTTGTTTTATGATAGCTTTGCGATGTATGCGAAGTTCGCCGAACAACATCACGATTTTGAGGCGAAGGAGGAGGAAAAGGGCCATCATTGCAGCCGAAATATCCTCGAAAACAGATTTGTTTCTGTAGGAACCTTTAATTTTATCCTGAACGGATTCTTCTCCCCACAGGGTGAGAAGGTAGGCTATTTCAGGCGCCGACCACTGCCCTACACTTTCCTCCTCCATGTTTCGTGTGTTTCTTGAATGTTACGCTTCCACACGTACTTCCCACGTACTTTTCACGTACGCTTCACGTACGCAGTTTAATGACGTACAGAACGCAATGCCTCAGAAAATCCGATCTGCCTGTTTACATTACAGTCGCATTGGCCCATATCTGATTTATATCTGATTTATTTCCACATATGAATGAGGCCTGAAACCGATCTCGAAATATCCGAATGCATGCGTTTTTTTCCCGTTTACACTGTCACAGAACAGATCCGATCTGTGTCACATATGAGCAAAAAATCGGAATTAGGTCGCATTTAACAGACAGTGTAAACGGGGCCTTAGAGGCTGCTGCAACTTAATGCACCGCCATCTTGAGCAAACCCTGTGCTAAGATGAACATGGTAATGCACCTGATGCACCCACCCACTCAAGGGGACATCTTGCGTCCCAGAACACCATAGAGAAGATCTGGAATTGGTTCCAATGGCCAGGAATGGAAACCAAGGCATGGAACTTTTGCCAGTGGTCTGCCATGTGCCAGAAGATGTCACCACAGCCAGTACCCCGATCCTTCTGGTCTCACTTCTTATCAGTGAGGTGCCTTTTGAGCAGGTAGGCATGGAGCTTGTGGGGTCAGTCCTTGGGCTATGAGTATATCTTGATACTGGTAGACTACACCACCCATTACCCTGAAACCATTCCCCTAAGAAAGAAAACCTCAAAGGCTATTGTTGACGAGCTTTTCCTCGTGACCACACGGGTTAGAATCCTGCAAAGACCTGCTTATGAACCAGAGTACCATCTTTGTCGCCCAGCTGCTCCAAGTAAAATAGCTGCGGACTTTGATTTACCATCCTCAGACAGATGGCCTCATAGAAGGTTTAATCAAACCCTCAAAAGAATGACGGCACAAAATGATGTTGGGCTCAACTGAGATCTCATGATCCAAGATGTGATGTTTGCCTCCACACCAGTTGAGCTCCTCTTTGGACAAAGACTACATGAGCCAATCAACATGGCCGAGGCATAGAAAACCAAAACATTGCCCCTCTGATCAGGAATAGAACATAAGCAGGAGATGGGGGAGAGAATCCAGAGAGTGCTAGTGGTGAAGGTGCATATGGCAGAAGCCCAGCAAGCTCAGCAGCGGCTGTGCAATTGGCTTGACCAACCCCATGAGTTCCAGCCAGATGAGTGAGTTTTGGTCCTAGCAACTAACACTAACTGCAAATTTCTTGCCACTTTGTGCTGGCTGTGCATTGTGGAGAATATGATGGGACCAGTGAATTACAAGGTCAGCCAACCAGGACAGTAACAGGAAGAACAAATCTGGTCCAACCCAGGGTCCAACCTGTTTCTGTAATAGAGCCATTTCCAACTGTGTTGCATTTCCTGTTTGAACAGTTAGATGCTGGTTGCTTGTATTAGTTCAATGTGAGGGATTGTAAGTTCACACTGTCTTGTTACATTATATTTTTTTATATCAATAATTGCTATTCATGTTCTGGCATTTGACCAAGCCAGAAAGCTAAATATCAGCTGTAAAATGACAGGCTAAGCAACAGCTATATCTTATATAAACAGAAAATGGGTGTCCTTTCTAAATGAAACTAGGTGTGTTATGTGCAATCTAAAAATCAGGTCAAAACAGTTGGGGTACATCTGCTGTCACATAGTCAAAATTTATTTCCACACCTTCAGTATTTCAACTGCTTCTAAGTTGAAAATGACAATATAAACTAACCAGCCAGAACATTAAAACCACCTTATTAATATTGGCAGGTACTGACCACTGCATACCAGGAACACCCTACAAGACCTGCTCTTTCAAAGATGCTCTGATTCAGTTGTCTAGCCATCACAATTCAGCCCTTGTCAAAGTCGCTCAGATCCTTACGCTTGGCCATTTTTCCAGCTTCCAATACATCAACTTCAAGAAATGACAAAACACTTGCCTAATATATAATGAGCCACTTGACAGGTGCCATTGCAATGAGATAATCAGTGTTATTCACTTCACCTGTCAATGGTTTTAATGTTATGGCTGATCAGTGTAAGCTTTCCAGTTCCAAGCCTGAGGATATGATGTGTATATTTATTCCATCCATCTTCAAACCACATACCCAGTACATTATTTCAGTGTGGTCACATTCAAAACCCAAGCAACACAACAAACCATAACAATTCAGAATGTGTATGTGACAAAGAGTGATCATATCACTGCTGGGCCCTGCTGCAAGCCCCTTAACCCAGAATAATGGCTGACCCTGCACTCTGACCCCAAGATTTGCTCTTACCTGTATGTGTCTGTGTGTGTCCCATGGGAGAGTAAGATAGGTTATGCAAAGACGGCATTCTATTCTACTGTAGGTCTACAAAGTATGAAATATAGTCAGAAAAGCAGGAAATAGAAAAACATGTGGTGTTGTACTGGGGTTTGCAACCTTTTGATGTATGTGGATTGGTCTACGTCATGCAAAAACTTCGCAAACTGGTAAAATTGCCAGGGGGTTCCAGTGGAGCATTTCCATTTTATCTCGATGTGAAGAGTACATGCCAACGTGAGTGGTCATAAAAAGATAACATCTCACCCTTTCTCAAATCCCCCAGTGTTCTGCTGCCTGCTGGAATCCTGGCCACGGAACAGTCCCAGTCTGATCCATGGACTGGGGATTGGGAAGCCCTAGGTGTATATGTAAAAAAATAATTAAGGCAATAAAAATGATGCTTTACAGAGACTGACACAAGTGAAAATGTCCATACAAATCTTAACATTATTGTCACAAAATGTTGGTCTTGCTTTAATGAAATGTCTCAAAGTTTACATAAAGTGTCATTGTGTGCCGTAAGTAAAAGCTAATGAGTTCAGTTTCAAACAAGATTTAAAATGCTCTGATTATTTAGAAAACAAACATTTTGAATAGGTTCAGAGGTCAGAGGTATTGTTCTGCTTTTGAATGCATTCATTATCTTAATCACTCAGGTCTCTTGTTCATTCTGGGTGGCCGTGAGGAATCCAGTTCCAGCCTGTTGTGGCAGAAGTCCGCTGAGAGATCCAGTTTGCCTAGCAAAAGTGCAAACACTCTGATGTAACAAGGCACTGCACAAGGCTCAACTGTTAATAATTAATGTGCCTATTATGTGTGTGTCTCTAACTGTACTCTAGAGATCTCTGGTTATGCCTATTTACGAGGCGCACAGAACAAGGACAAAGTTTACAGACAACTTGTCAATGCCAAAATCCATCCTTTGTGGTTTTTAAACAGTGAGTCAAACACGCCACCAAATTAACAATGGTGCTCACAGAAAAGTCTTTTGAGAGCTGATGCCCTCCCCATTTCTTTAAATCTGAAATAAAATTGCTGTGTGAATTTGACAAATGTTCCAGATAATTGTTAATTGATAATAGTTAATATATCTTAAATGCATTGTGCATCAGAGAGAACTTAAAAACTCACAAAGAAGCTGTTAACTCAAAAACACCACAGCCCATCAGCATCAGTAAAACTCAGTCAATGTACGATACAGTCCAAAATTGCTCAAAATGCTTTCTTAACTTACACATTTTTTTAAAAGAACTAGATGTGTCTATGAATAACCTAGTTATGAATAATTTGATTTTGGGATAACAATAATAACAATAAAACTAACAACAACTGAACAATAATAATAATAATAATAATAATAATTATTATTATTATTATAGATACTTCATTGATTCCTGGGGGGAAATTCTCTTTTTGCCTCCCCCATTATGCTCTCTATAGATGACAGCAAGCTGCCTACAAAGGAGTGGTGACCAGGGAACTGGTGGTTAAGGGCCTTGCTCAAGGACCAGCAGACATGATGAGGTCAGGCCTGAACCAGTGACCTGTTCTGATTACAGGCACAGAGGCTTAGCCCACTGAGTAAGACACTGCCGCCCCAGGTTTTTGCTCCTTGTTTTCTCAATAGGGAATAAAGCACTATCCACAAAAAATAAGATGTGCCCTGGTCTGAAGAAGAAAACAGTTTTCCATACTTATGCAAACCATGTTACAGTATATAACTAAACAAGTAATAAAAAGTGAAGCAGATTAATATCTTTTTCATCTATCTTTTCATTGACCTTTTCAATATCAATATTTCTCAATATTAAAATAGTTCAAAGGTGAGTTGATCCATAGGTAGATCATTAGGTACTCATAGTAAACTGCAATGATGAAAGCTATCCATTATGACAATAGCATGAAATTAATTTTCCCTCTTGAGGAATAAAGAACACAAACAATTTGTGCGTACTTTCAAAGCCTTTCCTCCAGTGGGAAGAATTCCAGGCAACGATTCTCTGGCATAACCATATAAAATTTGACCCACCACCTTTTCACCATCCCATAGTTCATTGTGAGTGGTTCAGTGAGGTAAGTTTGGCTTTTCAGTTCCATTATATGCTGTATGTCAGAGGTTTGGATAACATGAGATTTGCTTCATGACAGATATTTAAGTTATTAGTGCAACTGTCTATTAGCAATACCTATTAAATATTTATGTTATTGACAGTTATAGTTACAAATGTTACAAAAAAAATTATTATAGCGAAAAGACAATTTAAAATTAAAGGAACTTTTAAGAAATTATTATATTCATTATGCTTAGAATACTTTTAAAAAAATGGGAAGTTACAAACTGGGCCAATTCGTAATTATTTACTTCACACAATAATGTTGGTGAAACATATACTGTATGTAAGGTCTATTGACTGATGTGCCTCTCATTTTGTTTCATTTCAGAGCTCCGGAAGCCTCCTGTAAATAATGCAGAATGAAACAGGCATTCTGGGCAATATGACTATGAACAGGAGCGTGTCAGTGACACTGAAGATATGCTCTGTAATTCCTTTCTTAAGCATATTCTTCTATTACATCATCGTGATGCTACACACCTTTGCATCAAACCGGCACTTCTGGGACAGCTCACGCTACATCCTCTTTGTCTACATGCTGATCAATGACACACTACAGCTTTCCCTCTCCATGATACTCTTCTTCTTTGTGTATGCTGGCTTGCAAATCTCCTTTGGCTCATGCATCCCCCTCCTCTTCCTCTCCACTACTACCTTCCAGAACACCCCGCTCATCCTGGCTGCCATGTCCCTGGAGCGCTACGTGGCCATCTTTTACCCCCTACAACAGCCCGCAGCGTGGCAGGCAGACCGCATCTGGGTCATCATGCTGGCCCTGTGGCTGACCAGCTGCATCCTCCCTACCATTGACTTATCCCTGAGCCGGCTACAGCCTGACTTGGGCAACTTCTCCAGGATGGTGATCTGCAGAGCACTCATTCTTAACTCGTCTCCAGTTCAGATGTTACTCAAAATGGTGCTTAACAGGATGTTATTTGCGCTAGTGGCCATCATCATTCTGTTCACCTACATCAGGATCCTCTTTGAGACACGGCGGATGCGGCAGGACTGGGCGTCTGTCAGAAAGGCGATGCACACAGTGCTGCTGCACGGACTCCAGCTGCTGCTCTGCATGGTGTCCTTCACCCAGCCCTTGGCTGAGAACTTCATCGTAGTGTATGTCAGCTGGCTGCGCGAGCACATCCCCTTCTTCAACTTCTTCTGCTTCATTCTTTTGCCGCGCTTCCTGAGCCCCCTTATTTACGGCCTGCGTGACAACATCCTGAGACGGCACATTAAGGGCGCTGTCTTCTGCTGCTCTGCTAGTGTTCACCCCATGACAACAAGAAAACACTTTTTGAAATGAGATTAATAAATTGTTTACATTAGTTCTGTTTCTCACAATAAAGGCATTCATGCTTTGATAAAGGTGCACTAAAAATTCTCAATATGCAATTAAATCTGATTTAATGGAATATAACTAAAACAATGTTGCACCAGTTTAATTTTTGATTATATGGTGTTGAAATACTGTAAGACAAGGGACCAATTATCATCCTTTCTTATCTGTGACCCAGTGGCAGCTGGTGGTCTTTCAAACAGTTGAAGCACATTTTAGGGAATCCTGGGTGTTGTACTGCCCTGCTGTTTAAATCTGAGTCTCTCCTCGTAAGGAAAATTATCAAATGGCTTCCCTAAAATCAGGTCAACAATATTAGCAGTGTCTGCCATTATGCACGGCTAGCTAGCAGGCTGGCTAGTTCCTGCCCCCCCACCCCCACATCCATGACCTAGTTTGAAATAAACAAACAGACTTTACTAACCTACTAAGAAGTAAACCTTACAAACGAAACAAAGGCCAAACTCAAGAATCCTCTATTTATATTTTTATTTACAATATGATATGTAGAAATGAAAATCGAAAATAAAATGAAAAGACCAGATTGATTGTTTAAAATGCAGTGGATAATACAATACAGTCAGAAATTAAAACATAAATGATTTTCAAGACTGTGATGCCATTACACAATAATGCTATCTTTAATAATGATATGTGTGATAAAATAATATTTGCTCACCATGCAATGTACAGTTATTATTACATGATACGGCAGGAATGAGTCTAATAGGTTTCTGTGTCCATGTGCTTTGAGTCCTGGTAGGTTCCTGCCCATTCAAATTTTTACTAGCTAGACCATTACGTTTCATCCATTATTTTCAAATATAATGTCATTTGTTTTATACATCTTACCATAAGGGCAAAAAGTTTGAGACGAGGAAGTGTAAAGGAGGAAGTGTTTCATTTCAGAAACCAACATTTGCTTAATAAACGCCTCATGAAGTCAACCTGAAAACCCTGGTATTAGGATGGTCCAAAGAAAACCTTTTTTCAGATTTTCATGGATTATAACATTGAATTAAAATCAACTTCAGATAAGAAGATTTTGTCCAAAATCTGAGAGTGGTTAATATATAGGGGTGGCACAATGAACCTGAAAATGATTTGTCTCCAGTTTAAAAGTAGGCCTAATGAAACAAGCAGCTTATTCATGGGTTCTGAAACACTTCACCATCAAACTATTTATTTAGGTTATGTTGCAAACAAAGGTCATGAGAAGTTGCAGCTTTTAAAGCAGTGAACTGCGCAAAAATTAACATAACTAAAAAAATACAGTGAAAAATACAGTGAATATACAATTTAGCAAACCGTACCACTCTGTAGTTAAACCCAAAACAAACATGTGCAGCAATTTAGGCAAATCTTTGTGATGGCTATATAACAGACGGGGCCCTATTTTGCTGGAAAGCGTGATGCAAAATGGTTTTGGTAGTTTCATACCAGCACTTTCCTCATTTTCCCATCATGCACGCATGTTTTCAAAGTAAATGATTTTGCGGCCATTTCCTGCTTGTTGGAGTGGTGTTTTTAAATGAGGTGTGACTGAGCGCATTGCTGGCACATTACTATTTTAAGGCAGCGAAATAACATTTAACATCTGACCAAGAAAAAGTCAGCGGCATATTATTAAATCATATTTAAGCGGAGCATTTTAGAAACGTGCAGATGCATTGTGCTAAATACAGACACAGGTACACGCTTGAAGTGTACTAATATAAATAAAGAATAAATCATATCATTAAAAATCATTCAAGATCATTATCAGAACTATGTATTGATAATAGGCTATTTGAACAATCGACAAAAATGTATATTTAAACACACCAGGCTGAGCAGCGAGCTTCTGTTTTCCACATCTTCTGACATCATTATAGCACTTTTGGCACTGATTGGATGATCTGGTGATGCCAGAAAATGAGGAAACAGTTGCTGGTACCTCATCCCATGCCTACTTCATCTCGAAAGGCTTAAGCCTAGTTCATACACACAATTTAGCAAATTGCGGCTGGCACATGTACAGTATACGGCAATAATATTCCTCCAGACCAGCAAAGGGCAGATGTCACCTTCTGGGACTGAATGAAGCTTACACAACAATAATCAAGAGCAGGAATATGTCATTAATCTTGAAGAAATATAGATGAGACAAGATTTCCAGTCATATTGATATTTATTGTTTCGAACTGAACAAATTGAAAGGAGAAAGTTTACATACATGCCACCTGCTGGATATACAGTACTTAGTCAATGATCTTGGACGGTTTCCGCTAGACATAAGAATCAGTGCTGCACACCCACCGACTGCAGCCGTCCGCAGCCAACCCCTGATGACAACATTTATGGCATCCCCTAAAGTATGGACTTCAGGCGGAACGGTGGTGCTCCCGTAAATGATGTGCTCACGCATTTTTACTTCGTGCCTAGGCAGGTCCACTTCCAGTGTCAGGTAAACACAATAATAACAATCCGCCGTAGCTCATGCCTTTTAAAGGTGAGATGTCATGCCATTCTGATTGGTTTATTGCATGTTACACCCAAACCACCCCCCTGAATAATTAAGAGAGTTAGGACAGCGTGTTTGCGCCTTGTGCTGGTGCAAATTATGTTTTTTTCTGCCGTCAAAATAGCAAAATGGATTTGGACACGTCCATAAATGTTAGTTACACCTTGCACTTTATGCTTTGCATTACATCGTCAAGATAGAGTCCTCCATTCCACATATTTGTCCAGTTTGGGTTAAACATAGCTACTGATTTGTTTTACCTGGATTTGTGAGAAGTATTCCAACCACAGCTGCAATGGAAATTCATGATGTGCTACCATCAGCAGTACAATGTACGAAGTGTGTTCACTAGGGGCTTGCTAGGTATGGATTAGGGGTCTAACCAATCACAAAACTCACACTTCAGCTCATATCACAGGTATTAGAGTCACAGACACAGACACAGATCATTTTTCAGATAAGCAAAAAAAAAAAAAAGACAACTTTGCTTTCCATTTAAAGAACTTAAAGAAAACTCAAAGCATGAAATTTTTAACATGCCCCATTCACATGTAGGGAGAGTGGGGTGATTTGTGCCAGGGGGGAAGTTGTGCCTGTTTCTAGGGAACCATAGAAGAAATTAGTCATGTGACAACACATTTTTGAAGGGTCAGCCATTTACTCATCCTGCAAAGAAGAGAGCGTAATTGCATGAGAGGTAAACACATTTAAGTTCAAAAAACTGTTTTTTGCCTTACAAAGTAAAATTTCTATGATCAAGGTTTTTTGATTGCTGCGTCTGAACAGTTATACACAAGTTTTAAAACATTTCACACATGTTTTAGTGCTTT